TAATCTAGAAAAAAACATTATTGTTAAATAAGACAGACCCATATTAAATTTGTCACATTTTATTTAATGATTAAAAAAATTAACCCAAACATTTACTGAGTAATTTGAAACCAGAAAGAACTTGGTGGCGTATTAAGAACCCGAGATATAAATATTTTAATAAAAATATATTTCTAAAAAGTGAAATTTAATATTTTGTTGTGGTTGGTAACTAGTCTCTAACTCGTTAGATTTTAATGATCAATAGCTCAAATGAAAGCCCTTACATTACTAAATGTTTAAGGCTAGAACGAACTGCAAGCGTTAATATGTACTGGAGATATAAGTAAAAATTATCTTAAAAAATGTTCAAAATACGAAACGTCCTTAAGAAATGTATGCAGGAGAATTGTCGTTTGAATATATCTTTAAAACAAAAAAATATATTTAAAAACTCATTTTGGCAATGGAATAGGCGTGAAAATCTAGTTTAAAATAATGTGTCACAACATTGCCATTACCTACATAAAAAAACAATTATATCCAATATGGCCGATCCAAGATGACGGCCAAAAACACGTTCCCGATTGAAATGACACCGTCATTACATTAAAAAAAATATTATATCCGTTAGGGGGATCCAAAATGACGGCCGAAAACACGTTCCCTATCGAAATCAAGAAATGACCACCCAATAAATATCGGTGGTGGTCTGAAGTCAATATCAATGAAAATGCATGTGGATTTTTTTCCAATGTTGAGAAAATCCGTCATATTAAATCTTGATTCTAGGGGTTTTCCAGTAGACCGATTTTTGGCAATTTTTACTATGTTACTCTGCATACCCAACACTACAATAAAACCATAAAACGTTTTCTTTTTTAAGGTAATATTCTATCATTCTCTTTATGATTAAAACTGGGGAACCGAATACGTAGGTTTGCTGCAATGGTAACTGCCAAAAAGGAATTTTTAGTAAAAAAATATTAAAACAGATAATATGAAGCAGAAAAAAAAGTCTTATCTATATAAGTTTAATGAAAAATAATATTAATATTTATGCTTATTCTCCATAAGATTAACATTGAGCTATCTCGGCAAGAAAACATACTAAATTTATTACTTTCAATATCTCTGTAACAAATTGAAGCAGAACAAAGATTCAATATACTAAATTGTTAGGTTTTTTGTGTTGAATCTAATGGTGAAAAAATAAATTTGAAATTATAACAAACATTGTACAAAATATTAGAAAAACATATATTTGAGGTAAAAAAATCTTATTTTTTAGCACATAATACCCTGAAAATTCATCTTTGGGTTACTTTGTCTGCCTAGTTTTCATATTTAAGGTTCGAAATATAGTTCTAAATGTGTTTGCCAATTTTCGTGGAAATCAGCCAATCCTGGAACTATGAATCGACGAATTTGCAGTCATCTTGTCGATTTGAGGACCTCGCGGCGGCCATCTTGGAAAAACCCGACTTCCGGTTGTCCGATTTTGGTAGACTTTTTTCCTGGTACTTTCTATACCTATTACTACCAAAAACCGTCGAAAAACCATTTGTTGGAATTTGTTCTATCTCAAGTGCATATATTGACTCGACTAGTAGGCCTACTATTATAAAGATGAGGTGGTGTGTGTCTGTCTATCTGACTGTGTGTGTGTTTGTATGGGATAAACTCAAAAACTACTAAACCGACTGGGCTCAAATTGGACAAAAATAAAGCTACAGCTCTGAGGATACATATAGAACTATTCCCACTTTGATATTGATCTAGGAATCGGCCCCGCGGGCTTTCAGAGTTCTGAGGTGAGACTTTTGAATGTAAATATTGATTTTTCTCCATGGAAACAGTCTGAGTCTAGCAGTGGCTAATGTTAGAAGTGGGGAATGACCAACCCATTTTGGTGATTTTGCAGACCTTTTTTGAAAATTCTTAAAAATTCAACCGAACAAGTAAACCTAGGCAACCTTATATTCATTTTGTTCGGAAAGAACAGGAGAATCTAGAAATATAATAATGATTTACACAGTGTATTTTTCAGTAAAGTGAAAAAAATAAGAAACTTTTTTAAATTTCAAAAGCAGCCTCGGTAAAATTTTTTCTAAGATTTTTCATGGGAAATTCATTATATACATTTTATAGACTATCTAATTCCCTACATAGAAATATATATATCATGTTAGGAAAATATTTTTTTTATAAGTTTTTGGGGCGAAATATAATAACAAACGGAGAACCGAAAAAAATGAAAACCGTACAGTGTTAGTTTGTGTTGTAAAAAGTTATATAATATATGTCTATACTGTACTAATAATGATATATACATGTTTGTAAACCTAATGAAGTAAGGAATCCAAAAAAGTCATAAAGTTTATGGTAAAAATCTATAATATTAAAACGTGACAGGGTTTTTTATTTCACGATTCTAAATCAACCACTTGACGGATTTTCATGATTTTTGTGTTGAAAGAAAGATAATTTTGAAAACTAGGAATGTCGAAGCCATAATTTTAGTTTAGGGTCCCAGTTTTTTATTTTAGATATAAGTTTTAATTTTTTTTAAGTCTAGCAGCCGACGCAAACATTTTAAACTAGCTTTTGGTATGATATAATTTGCTTAACATAACAGCTGTAAACATTCAGCGTTTGTGACACAAATTCAGCATTTGGATATAAATTAAAAGACATACTAAGGGTTGACGTATTTATATTATGTGTAATGCTGACCATTGATACGTTAAATTCTTCGGTAAGAGGATGACAGATTAAATCAATATAATACAGTAAAATACTAGGATGTTCAAATTATTTTGTAAAACAATTTTTGATTTGTTTTAGTGCAATACAATTTGTTTTAACTAACAGCTGGTTGAATATAAAAATATTCTTTAGAACTATCAGGTTAGTTTATTATTCTGTGATTTTGCCATTGGTTATAGGAAATGAGTAAGATTCTATAACCACTGATGTATACAAAGTGTTTTCAAAGGAAATCTTTTGCAAATTATTTGTCTGTTCGACTGTTTGAGGAAAGAATAGGAAAATAACAATGTTTACATGTGTTAATTCATCTTGGCAGCTTTTTGTTTTCAGTAAATGTTTAACCACTTGAACTTTGCTTGGATTAGAAATGGAAATATTGATATAACTTCAGTTTTAGTTGAACACTCAATTCCCGTACGTAGGTCGGGCCAATCGTAACTTTTTATTTATAAATAAAATAATGATTTTATATTTTAGCGATTTTGTGAAAAAAATTCATAGTATTTAGTATAAAACTTTTGTACCAAATGTTTTTCTTCAAACTAACATAATCATCTTGCAGTGTATTCAATTACCTACACAAAATTGTAGGCTGGGTATTGTTGGGTAACAATTTTTGTTTTTACGTGTTAGGGGCATAATAATATAATAAACAGCAAACCGCAAAATACAACCTTTTATAAACACAATTTCACACTATTTATATACACTATGGTTATACAACACACACATTTTTCTAACAATATGAAATAATAACAAATTTAGTAATAAATCGCGGATAACACAAGAGCGAAAACTCACCGGCAACAACAGGCAATGGCGAATACAAGGCACTTTGTGTACGAGACCTTGACAGTAGTGACGCACTTTCGTCGTCTTCCTGAGAGATAACGGAAATAACCCTGAGCGCAGGGCTGCTAATTCAAATTCAAATTCAAATTATTTATTAACTCATAACACCTTTTGGAGTACAATGTACATAGATAGGAGTTTTGTCAATATTTATAAAACTAATACTACACTGATATATTTGATATAACTAATTACAATTATTCAAACTTTAAAAATGTAATAGTAATACTGTAAACTAACTAAAGCATTTCATTTCATTTCATTCATTTGTACAAAAAGAAAAAATATCTGTCAATTCTTAAAACTAAGCTCAAACTACATGACGAAATACCAGTCTGGTCTGTATCAGGACAGGATATAGGCTTTGTCCTGTACCTATATAACTCTACTACAGCAAAAAAAAAAAAAAATAATATTAATAACAATAATAAATAAATAAAATAAAAAAAATAAAGACTCTTTCTTAAACCATGGCACAACTTACCCTTCAAAATTATCCAGAAAAAATTCTTCAATGCTATAGTAAGATTTTTCCAATAATAATTTATTTAAGGTTTTGAAGGTATTTTTTGATGAATTTTTGCATATGGTTGAAAGCTTTTTTTTTTGTTTGAAAGTTTTTGCTACTATCACAAGCTACGTTTCTTTCTCTTCAAAATGACATACTATATAACTAGTAATGATAACTTATACTGTATGTAATTCATAATTTCCGTACGATTGCCTAGCGACTGTTGGCCATTTGTTTTACATTTTTCATAAAATCGTACCGGTTGTCCAATCAATATTTCGTTCCAAATATCACTACCACAATGAAGATTAAATCAATGGCTATCCAGTGGTACCACCCACAACATCCCAAGACGAACATTACCTGAGCAGGGTAATGCCAAACAAGTCGTGTTTTGCCAGTTCCCAAGTGTCGGCTGTAAAAGTCGTGCCGCAGTTATATACCTGCTACAGGGTTTGTTTATGTAATAAATGAAAGTTCAGAATGTGATATTTCGAATGGTATATATATTGTTCTTATAAGTGTTTTTATACCGTTAAAATAATTTTGGCCCATACCATCGCCTTACGATCGTGGCCATTCTAAGCATCAACGGCGAACGATCGTCCCGCGATTCATACTTTTATAAATTTTCCTAAATTTATCAATATTTTAAGTGTAAATTTTTTTCTGTGTCATTGGCAACCTTAGTTTTTAAGGCAGACATATTTATTTTTATAAATAAATTCTCTTCTCTGTAGGAAAAATATAATGTGTAACGCAAAAGCAAAGTGCCACTTTGCGCGCTAGTTACACAAATAACAATTGTAAGTGAACGTTATGTACATCCAAGTAGGATTTTGAGGTTAAACGGTTTATCTGCTCCTCATGTTGTAATGTGTTGTAGGCGAGGGCCAGTAGTGGAAGAGCTATGCTTCTCATCACTGACATTAGCAACTTGCTCCTGTGTGTAAGACACATTCTACCCTCTATTTGCAACTCTGCACCAGAGCTAACTGGTGTTTCTGCTCTTTCGCAGGTTTGTATTAATTTATTCTTTTTGAAGACTTATTTAATCAATATTTTTCTCATATTCATCTACACTTCTGCTCTTGAACATTGGTTGATCCGTTTTCTTGCATGCATCAAGAAATTGTTGTGAAATCATATAGGCAGCTTTTGCCTAATATATCTGGGGGCTACCTCTTTTTCACGTGTACCACTAATGCTATAAATAAATTTAAATTTATTTTTGACAATTCCGGAAGCATGCACTAGTTCAACCAGTGTACATTAGTAAAAATATGAACTGTTCTGGGATAGCCTCCTCTAATACAAGACTGTGGCGAGATAAAAGTGGCAACACCACTGTCCTGGCAAACCGAAACAGCTGTTGCACTTATGATGGAGCGTCTGCGCAATGTTTTTGTTTACATGTTTGTTGTTACTGTTATTACCATGGCAACAGGCTGGCCAGTGTGAAGTTGCCACCCACCAACACTGTGTCCTTGTATTACTATTATTACTTGTGTTATTGTGCTTTGACAGTATTCAATTTATTTGTCAACGAGTCATAAGAATACACAGCTGACTCTGGCCACCTGTAAAGTAGACTAAGAAATAATAATTGTGAACATTGATTTGACGTCCTTTGTTAAGGGTGTAAATCTTAACACATTATGGTGATTTAACACGTTCGCTGTGGGCCACTCACCGGTGAGTGCTCTAGCTCTTTCTGCCACGCTTAACGCTCACCGGTGAGTGCCACCATCACCTACATTTCATTCAATTTCTGAGCAGCAGCACACTGGGAAGAACGGGTAATTTAATGTCAGCGTTTAGCTAGGAATGGGTGCTTTATTGTGGTGCAGGTTGGTGGTACATTTCCCCGTAAAATTCCCTTCTAGTAAGCTTAGAAATCAACTTGTCCTGTTTTTTCTCCCTCCTATTGGCAATACAATGGGACCGGCTGGTTCCAGACAGTGCTCCTGCTATCTGTGAGTTTTTCAGCAAACTACGTCGACACTCATCGTAACGTAGAACATCACCGCACGTCATTTGCTATTCGTCAGACCGAAATATTTGAAAGCAAAACAGATCCGCTCGTCACTGCGCCGCACCGGGATTATGCCCGCCATTTGGTGGGCCCCAGCAAATGTGTTAAGTAGGCTACAAATAATATGAAATTTATTTTTTAAATGCAGGTTGTGAGAGATGTACATGCTAAATGCCATGCACTTCTACAATGCTTGCTACTCAGGGGAAGTCCTCTGAGCCTGTTGTACAAGGTAGGTGTACTACACTGCTTATAATGTTGAATGAATTTGAGCTCACTCTTTGAAGTTACTTCATAAGGTTGAAACCACATGTTGCATAAACTGTGTTTAACCATAGACTAACCAACACAAGTAGACTTCCCATCCCATTGTCAATTTTGAAGCTCGTTTTTTGTGTCTAGTTCATGTCCGGCGACACTGGTGGCTAGTGTCGACAAAATTTTGTTTCTATTATTTTAGAGTTAATTTAACGGTTTGTGCTTTACTGTTTGATAATATAACTAGCGGATGAGTTATTGTTTGTGTTTATATCATTTTATTTGGTTTAACGGGGTGTTAAATGACTGAAATAGCAAGAAACAAATTGTAAACAAAACATGACATCTACAGTGCACCGGACAGAACTAATGATAAAATTGGCTTCAGCTGTTCCATAAGTATGGGAAATCTACCAGTGAGTATGTTTTATCTATAGTTTAACTTATTGACTTTAAATTGCCAGCTGTTGTAAAATGTTATTAGCATGTGTTAATAATTAAAACACATGCTTATTTATTTTGAAGATAATGTAAACATAAATTAGTTAGAACTAGACGAAGACGTATGAGGTATAAGTAGACGGTGGCGTACCCGACAAGTTGTACCTGCAGATTTTTAAGAGGTACAAATAGACGTAGAGACAACTAGATGTAGGTACAACTAGACGTCCGCACCTTCGTCAAGTTGTACCTACAGCTTTGGACGAGGTACAACTAGACGCCTGTCGCCAAAATGCAGCAGGTACAACTAGACACCGGTATAAGTAGACATCGACCCGAAGAAATATGCTTTTTATAAAATCAATCCTGAGGTAAGATGATGTAAATATTGCTATCAAACTGGATATGATTGCAACAAACCATACTTTTTAAAATTTTATTTGGGTGTTTTCTAAATCATTGCAATTTTTTAAGTTTTGAAAGGGAACACGGTTCAAACCCTGGTCTTATTATTATCCAACTTCGACCTTTTTGTTAGATAGCATAATTAATTCCTAGCCCAATGACAAATGGCATCTGGGCCTGAAAACGATCTCCAACCATGGAATCGAACCAGCGGCCCTCAGATTGAAGGCAAGCACTATAACCACTCTGCTACCCAGACAGTTAATGTGCTGGTACTCAAACATATCATTAATTATACATTTTACTTAGTATTTATTGACGAAGAACTGTGTCCAAAAACCCCCGTCACATTTTTATGACAAATTAGTAAATTTATATTTCCAGGTCCAATGGGTGGGGTTCAGCTCCTATAGCCTCCCCTTTTTGGACCGCCACTGTAAACTGATAACGCTAAAATTAATCTTTAAGCCTTATGTTCAAGGTTTTCAATAAAGGCTGGAAGGATGTACCATGCTTTTCTCCTTTACCAACATCAAGTATTGCACCTTGGATCAGCCTGAGTTCCTCAGAAAAGCTCACTTTGGGATCATCAGTTATTGGAAAGATTGAATCTATATCTCTGGAACTCAGTGTGTTGCTAACTCAGCCTCAACCTTCTTGGCATTTGCTTCTCAAGGTATTGTTATTTACTTTCTTAAATAGAAAGAAAGTTGGTTTTGGCATAATGATGTACAAATGATCATGGATTATTACTGAATAGATTATACAAATTGAATATTAAGTCATTGCAAAAGTTTATAAAACGTGAGAAAGAAAAAACCTTAGCTGCAAATGGTCTAAGACATAGCCATCTCTATTATAAGGGCGCAGCGAGCACAATCTGGCAATGTCGCATCTGAGGCATTTTCCAGCCGGCTCCTGCCATTAGTTTGCACTGCTAGACTGTGCATCACCAGTGTGCATAAGCTGTTTGTTTTACACAATTAGAGACAATATGGTATTCGTAGTGACAGAGTTTTACCTGCCTAATAAGTAGTACAGGCGCTAGGTGCAGTTGAGTATGCATGAAAAGAGTCAGAGATTTTAACTTTTGATTTTGGTTATGGCGGCCTAGGTGAATGTAAAAACCCATGTCGTCGCCTCCAGGGGTGGTCGACAACTTAGGGGAGGGGGTGAAAAGTTGCGAAAAATGTTAATCGGCAAACCACTTTTAACTCCCTTGTTTTTGAACGTGAGTAAAAGACTCATTTAAATTTACTTTTCATTTTATTGAAGGGGCCTAGGTGAGTGTAAAAACCCATGTCGTCGCCTCCAGTGGTGGTCGACAACTTAGGGTTGGGGGCGCAAAGTTGAGAAAAACGTTAATCGGCAAACTGCTTTTAACTCCCTTGCTATTGAACGTAAGTAAAAGATTCATTTAAATTTACTTTTCATTTTAGTAATAGGGGCCTAGGTGAGTGTAAAAACCCATGTCGTCGCCTCCAGGGGTGGTTGACTACTGAAGGGTGTGGGTGCAAAGTTGTGAAAAACGTTAATTGGCAAACCACTTTTAAGACAATAATAGGTTTTTTACATACCTCAGTCAAATAGTCCAAGAAATTATATTGCTCAACAGCTTACATGTTTCGTAGCAAAGACAACATTTTAAAATCTTGCAACTCATCAAAAACACATTTAAAACACGGACACGAACACAGAAAACATTTTATTTTACCACTTTTATGAGCCCCATGTTATTCTTACGCAGAATAACTATGAAATTTAAAGACTTTGGTATGCTCATCTGATTTGTTTAGAAACGTGTTAGAGACTTGAAATTTGGTAGTATTGTAGTATGAGATCCTAAATTAATTGTGAAATTCCCAAAAGTCCCATTTTAAAATTTTAACCCACCCAAAAATCCAAAATGGCGGACATCTAAAAACGAAAAGTGGTTTTTTTTACTGGTTTTACTCAAAAATGGTAAGAGCAAGGAAAGATTTTAAAGAATTTTCATGAGCAGGAATTAAACTTTCTACAAAACCATACTTAGCGTTTTCCGAAAATCACACCCCTTCACCCCTAAAAAAACGCCCTACTTTTAAAAATTGGAAAGTTTTGTTCAATATTTTAACCGTTTTCGCTACTTTTTCTTAACTTATCATTTTTATTGAGTGGAGCGAGCGAAGCTCTTATACGTTGACTCTTATGCATTTCGTTATGCGCAAACTCCTCCTAGACGGCTGAATCAATCGTTTTCAAATTTTGCATGATGAAAAAGACCTATCGGTGAGTGACAACATCAATATGACGTCAAAAAAGTCTCCCAGGAATCCGCCCCACTGGGTCTCAAAGTTTCAATGTAATCTTTTTGGAAGCAGTATTTGACACATAAACAAAGACATATGATCAGCTGTTGACTTTTGAATGCAGTAGATAAAGAAATAGCTGATAGCATTATTCGACAGATATTAGAACAGAAACGGTATGGATCCTAATATAAGTAAATGACGACACTAGCTTGAGGTCCGTGACGTAGGAAGTGGTGAAGGAAGTAGTAAAGGTGAGCAGTCTGGAGTGTGGAAACTTTTTATGACGATTAGATTTAGGTATCTGCATTCCTAAAATTCAATGGGAAGGGAGGATAACAGGTCCGCGACGTAGGAAGTGGTGAAAAAAGTAGTCAAGGTGAGCTGTCCGGAGTGTAAGAACTGTTTGTGACGATTAGATTAAGGCATCTGCAATCCTAAAATGCTATTGGAAGGGAAGGAAACAGGTCCGTGGCGTAGGAAGTGGTGGAGGAAGTAGTAAAGGCGACCTGTTTGGGGTATGGAATCTGTTTATGACCATTAGATTAAGGTATTTGCAATCCTATGATGCTATGGGAAGGGAGGGAAACAGGTCCGTGACGTAGGAAGTGGCAAAGGACAAGGAAGTAGTAAAGGCAAGCAGTCCGGACTGTGGGAACTGTTTCTGACGATTAGATTAAGGTATCTGCAATCCTAAAATGCTTTGGGAAGGGAGGAAAAACAGGTCCGCGATGTAGGAAGTGGTGGAGAAAGTAGTCAATGCAAGCTGTCCAGAGTGTGGAAACTGTTTAAGACGATTAGAATAAGGTATCTACAATCCAAAAATGCTATGGGAAGGGAGGAAAACTGGTCCGCAATTTAGGAAGTAGTGAAGGAAGTAGTCAAGGTGAGCTGTCTGGAGTGAGGGAACTGTTTATGATGATTAGATTAAGGTATCTGCAATCCTAAAATTCTATGGAAAGAGAGGGAAACAGGTCCGTGACGTAAGACGTGGTGAAGGAAGTAGTAAAGGCGAGTTGTTCGGAGTGTGGGATCTGTTTATAACCAATAGATTAAGGTATTTGCAATCCAATAATGCTAAGGGGAGGGAGGTAAACAGGAAGGTGTAAAGGAAGTAGTAAAGGCGAGCAGTCTGGAGTGTGGGAACTTTTTATGACCATGAGATTAAGGTATCTGCAATACTAAAATGCTATAGGAAGGGAGGGAAACAGGTCCGTGACGTAGGAAGTGGTGAAGGAAGTTGTAAATGTGAGCAGTCCGGAGTGTGGGAACTGTTTATGACGATTAGAATAAGGTATTTGCAATCCTAAAATGCTATGGGAATGGAGGAAAACAGGTCCGCGACGTAGGAAGTGGTGAAGGAAGTAGTCAAGGTGAGCTGTCCGGAGTGTGGGAACTGTTTCTGACGATTAGATTAAGGCATCTGCAATCCTAAAATGCTATTGGAAGGGAAGGAAACAGGTCCACGACGTAAGAAGAGGTGAAGGAAGTAGTAAGGTGAGCAGTGTGGAGTGTGGGAACTGGAAACCGTTTGTAGCAGTTAGATTAATGTATCTGCAATGCTGAAATGTTATGAAAAGGGATGGAAGCATGCCCACGACATAGAAAATGGTGAAAGAAGTAGTAAAGGCTAGCAGTGCGGAGTGTGGGGAATGTTTGTGGCAATTAGATTAACGTATCTAAAATACTAAAATTCTATGAAAAGTTATGAAAACAGGTCTGCATTGTAGGAAGTGGCTTAGAAAGTAGTAAAGTATGAGCATAGTGAGAACCGTCTGTGGTAGTTAGATTAATGTATCTTCAATCCTAAAATGCTATGAGACGGGAAGGAAACAGGCCCCACAACATAGGAAGTGGTGAAGGAAGTAGTAAAGGCTGGCAGTGTAGAGTGGGGGAACCATTTGGGCAGTTAGATAAATGTATCTTATACTTAAATGCCATGAGAAGGGAAGGAAACAGGTCTATGACGTAGGGATGGTGAAGGAAGTAGTAAGGCTTGCAGTGCAGAGTGTGGGAACTGTCTTTGGCAATGACAATTATGTATCTGCAATCCTAAAATGTTGGGATGAGAGGGAAACAGGTCCACGACGTAGGGGGTGGTGAAGGAAGTAGTAAAGGTGAGCAGTGTTGAGTGTGGGAATGGATTAATGTATTTGCAATGCTAAAATGGTATGGGAAGAGACCGTAGACTGTAGGTTAAAATGATTACAGGAAGTAGTAAAGGCGACCTGTTTTGGGTATGGAATCTGTTTATGACCATTAGATTAAGGTATTTTCCTATGATGCTATGGGAAGGGAGGGAAACAGGTCCGTGACGTAGGAAGTAACGAAGGACAAGGGAGTAGTAAAGGCAAGCAGTCCGGACTGTGGGAACTGTTTCTGACGATTAGATTAAGGTATCTACAATCCTAAAATGCTATGGGAAGGGAGGAAAACTGGTCCGCGATGTAGGAAGTGGTGAAGGAAGTGTAATAGGAGGGTCAAATATTGTGAAGAGGAAGTGTTTGGCAATGTTGTGTGAGTAGGCTGGTAGTGTTGTTAAACAATAACTTGTTGTGCTGACCTACTGAAGGCTGTTGCTTTAAGTAGGCCAGTGCACTTGATCAAGGGGTCAGTTTTGGTGGGTAGTGTTTGTGTGGTGCACCGGAGGACAGGGTCCTGCTGGGGAGCTGGAGCCCAAGGCCCTTGGCCTTGGGTCCAGGTAAGACAATGTAAAAGGTTTTCAAAATTGGGGTTTAGAGTCTTTTCTAAATTGGGGTTTCAGTTTCTAACTCATTTATACAGTTCCAGTCTACTCTACCTTTTTGTTGTTAGTTTAGCTTTGTGTTCTTTGTGTTGTTTTGAGTAATTAATAAAGTTGGGTTTTGTAAGCGAGTGCTGAGTTTCATTCCTGAGCTACGTCACCCAAAGTAGCGGTGGTATTCCAAGAGGAATACCGACCGTTACAGAAGTAGTCAAGGTGAGCTGTCCGGAGTGAGGGTACTGTTTATGATGATTAGATTAAGGTATCTGCAATTCTAAAATGCTATGGAAAGAGAGGGAAACAGGTCCGTGACGTAGGACGTGGTGAAGGAAGTAGTAAAGGCGAGTTTTTCGGAGTGTGGGATCTGTTTATGACCAATAGATTAAGGTATTTGCAATCCAATGATGCTAAGGGGAGGGAGGTAAACAGGTCCGTGACATAGGAAGGTGTAAAGGAAGTAGTAAAGGCGAACACTCTGGAGTGTGGGAACTTTTTATGACGATGAGATTAAGGTATCTGCAATCCTAAAATGCTATAGGAAGGGAGGGAAACAGGTCCGTGACGTAGGAAGTGGTGAAGGAAGTAGTAAATGTGAGCAGTCCGGAGTGTGGGAACTGTTTATGACGATTAGAATAAGGGATCTGC